CCTCTGTCTCTCTCTCTCTCTCTCTCTCTCTCTCACACACACACACACACACACACACACTTCTGCCTTCCTTCTCTCTATCTCTCTAGCCTCAGGCTTTCTTTCCCTCTTCTAGACCCTCAGAAACTAATCTAGAAAGCAAAGGGCCTTCTGAGACCTAAAATATCAAACGAACAACTTGACTTTCATCTGGGAGATTGAGACCCTTGCCCACCCTTTTCAAATGTCCGTCACGTGCACAAAGTCAAGGTGACTGGGACATTTAGGTTCAGGACTTCCTGCCCAAGCCCTGCCAGTCATAGCACTGCCCAGGTGACAGGAACAAGGGGTCTCCTCCCTCAGTGTATTTGGATGTTCCTTTCTCTCTGGTTGTGGGAGACAGCTTTGAACCTATTTTGGGTCCTGGAACTGCAGGCCCTCGAGAAGACCCAAGACAGATCAGATGTCTTGGTCCAGGTGCTGGATGTGCCCTCACTTTGGATCTTGCAGGTGACCAGGAGCCTTGTTTGGGGAGGTGAAGTCAAGGTCAGTAGACTGGGATTCTGTCTGGAGTTCTTATAGGAAGCATTAGGGGTTTGCTTCCAATGGCATGCCAGGGGCAGGGCAAGCTGAGAAAAAGCATGGTGGCCTGAGAGAAGGGAAAGTGGTCAATGACATGTCTACAGGACAAGGTCAAGGCTGCCATGTGGTCTCCTGGTAAGCTTTGGCCTCAGCTATACCTCAGCTACTGATCTCTAGAGGTCAGACAGAAGATACAGGTCAGTCCCCATCTAAACATGCATAGAACTATGGTCATCTAGGACAGGTGCTTCGCCACAGCCTCTGCTGCTCCTTCAGGATGGTGAGGCAGCTCTCCTGGCTGCCCTTTGGAGGGTCTCCAGGAAGGTAGAAGGTTGGAACAGAGGCCAGGTAATCCACAGCTAGGCCCCAGTATAACCGGATGCCTTGAATTAACCAGGTAATCCACAGCTAGGCCCCAGTATAACCGGATGCCTTGAATTAATGTGCCTGGCATATTCTCACCAGGGACAGGTAGGAACCAGGCCTGGGATGTCAACACTGCAAGTCTAATGCCTTCCTCAGGGAACCTGCTGGGAACACACTGACCTTCTGAGGGGCTCAGGAGGTAACTTGTGGGCTTCTGTCAGGCAAGGAACCTTTGAGATGAAAAGAAGGGTGTTCTGCTGCAGGGCCCTCTGAATGCCTGTCTCTCCATGACTGCCTCCTTGTCTCTGTCCTGCCTTCACACACTCTTGGGAACTTTTTTTCCAATGTATTTTAGAAGCCTCTTTACAGATGGTGGTGTCTCACTATGGAGCCCAGGCTAGCTAAAACTCATGCTCTCCCTACTTTGGCCTCCTAAATTTTGGGATAGCCAGTGGCATGTGCCACCATGACCATTTTGGTTGTCTCTAATGATGGTACCTGAAGAAGCACTTTCCCATTCTGTCACTTATGAGCATGGACCATCTTCACTGCTTTCATTATAATGATGATTCTGATGGCAATGTCATTTCAGGTGTGTTTGCCACGTACTGTGAATGGCGTTCGATTCACATGCTCATCTGATCCTGTGATGTCCTGAGAGATTCGTATGTGCGATTGTTATCTAATCTCTTTAAAGGGAAGCTTGTAGATCAGAGAGTCAAGTCTCCCAAGGCCACAAAGGCAACAAGCCAGGGAGTGGGATTCTAGTCCTCACCTGGCTTCAGAGCCGTGTTCCCAGCCAATCCTTTCTGTGCCAGCAAGACCATCTAATCCAGTGGTTCTGAACCTTCCTCAGGCTACAACCCTTTAATATGGTCTTCACGTGTGGTAACCCCCAACCATAAAATTATTTTGTTGCTACTTTGTAACTATAATCTTGCTACTGTTATGAATTTCAGTGCAGATATCTGGTACTGGACCCCTGTGAAAGGATCGTTCAACCTCCAAAGAGGTATTTTGGTCTGTAAGCACCTGTGAGTCTGGACCACAGAGTCTTGTTGGCACCTCTCTACCCTTGCCATCCCCTCCTTCCCTTCCTACCAGTGTCCTCTTCAGCCTCATCGATGGCATCTTCCTCCTCCAGAGGCACAGGGTACTGCAGGTGGGTCACCAGCCCCATGTTTTCCTTCTTGTAAAACTCGATGAGCTGGTCCAGCTTCGTGAAGAACTTCATGGGGACACCTTCGGATGCCTGAGGACAGAAGCCCCGGACAGAGCACACTTTAGAATGTCACCCAACCACAAAGGCCACCTGGAGCAGATACTGAGGAGACTGGGAGTGACCATATTCCAGAAAAAGCCTCAGGCTCTCTCTCCACCCACACCTCACATCCTGTAGCCAGTGGCTCCCAGGAGTCCCTTGCAAAGGTGTAAATAGGAGTAGTTTTATATTTTTTTCTTTCCATCTGTTAAGAATTATTTCTATAAGTACTTTACTATACAAATTAGTATATTTTTATTATCTCTAAATTAGAAAATGCCAGCTTTTAAAATATATCACCTATAATCTCAAAGGCCCAAGAGTTCTATTTTTACAAGTTTAGGTGTGTGTGTGGTGAACAGAGCTATTTTTGCTCCCACCCCACAAAGACCATTTCTAAAAATTATTTTTTATTTTTGGTATTGAAGATAGAGCTCAGGTTCTCACACATGCAAAGCACACACAGCCCTACTGTGAGTGACAGCCCGGGGCCCAAACTATTTGTTTATTAATGACTTATTTTTACAGCACTGGAGATTGACCCCAGGACTTTACACAAGCTCAGTAAGGATCCTACATCTCCTGTCTCTGCCTCCTAGGTGCTGGGATTACAGATGTGTGTCACTAGGCACCAAGAGTCTGCCATTTTTAACCTTATTTTGGAGCAGGTTTGCTCTAAACTATCCAAACTGAGCTTGAATACATCATCCTCCTGGCTCCACCCCCAGAGTATCTGGGATTAAGAACACATGCTACCACACAGGGCTTGTTTATTTTATTTAAGGATTTTGAAATGGGGTTTGGCTGTGTGACCCAAGGTGGCCTCAAGCTTGCAACCATCCTCCTGCATCAGATTCTAAAGGGCTTAAGAATTACAAGCTTGTGCCATCACATTGGACTATTGTTTTTAAACATAGGAAAACTCATTCTTGTAATTTTTTCCATTTGTTTAAATTCTATTTTTTGTTTGTTTTTTGAATGGGTCTCACTATGGAGCCCTGGCTAACCTGGAACCCACAGAGATTTTTCTGTTCCTGCCTCTTGAGTCCTGGGATTTAAGGTGTGTGCTAACATGCTAGAGTTAGTCACTTTTTTTAAGAGTAAAAAATTGTTTTATGTGTACCATGTGATTGCAGTGCCCATGGAGGCCATAAGAGGGCATCAGGTCTTTTGGACTGGCGTTAAAGATCATTGTGAGCCACCATTTGGGTGCTGGGAACTGAAGCCAGAATCCTCTGCAAGAGCAGCTAAGGCTTTAAACCACGTGGTCCCCTTATCCAGCCCTTAATTATGTTTGCTTGTTTGTTTTTTCAATCAAAAGTCAGAAAGTGGTTCAAGTAACACAGAAATCTTCACCAGTTTGTGCCTCTGCTGTTGCTGATGAAGGTGACTGTGCTCTACTGTCACTCTAGGACTAGGACTCTTTTGTATGTTGGTGGAAGAGGCAACTCCAGCAGGAAATTCAAGGTCTTCCCTGAACTGCCAGCATGGCACCCACCATGATGTTCCTTCATCCATCTAGGTATACCCTTGCTAAGACAGCTATCCCTACAGGCAGCCAGACCAGAGCCAGAGACCAAGTTGGTGCAGGTAATAAGATACACACTCTCTCTAGTGAGTCTTCTGTGGCTTTGTGGGGTCAGAATCCCTCTACCTGGGCCAAGTGTCTGCCTATAGTTTACTCTTGTCTTATTATTATTTAACTTATTTTAATTTTAAGACAATGTTTTACATAGTGACTCAAGTTGGCCTCAAACTCATGGAATTCTCCTGTCTCAGCTACCTAAGTGTTGGGATTACAGGCATTACCACATCCAGTTGTCCCTATCATTTTTTTTTAATTTTTATTTATTTATTATATGTAAGTATTCTGTAGCTGTCTTCAGACACCCACAAGAGGGCATCAGACCTCATTACAGATGGTTGTGAGCCACCATGTGGTTGCTGGGATTTGAACTCATGACCTCTGGAGGAGCAGTCAGTGCTCTTAACCACTGAGCCATCTCACCAGCCCCATGTCCCTATCATTTTAACAATAACTTATGTCCATCTTCAGGTTTAGAGATCAGAAGCTAAACCATTTCTCTAGGGCCAGCTAGCTGCCTTCTTACAGAAAGAAACCTATTGCTTGTGGTAAACCAGGCCAATAGGAAGATGGGTTTAGGTTGGAAAGTCTTCATGGGAGGGCGAGCAGATGGTTGACTCAATAACCTCAACATTAGATTCCTATTGCTGATGGTTTAACAGCCTGAACTGGGAGGCTTGACCTGGTGGCTTCAGCATCTCAGGTGAATGGGACAGAATCAAGTATCTTGCCAACTTGACGGGATTAAGACTCACCATGGATACAACTCTTTAGGCATATCTAGGTTAGGCTTACTGAGGTAGGAAAACCCATTCTAAATGTAGGTGACATCATCCCACGGGCTGAGGTCCAGGGCTGAGTAAAAAGGAGAAAGCAAACTGGCACCAGCATTCATCACTGTTTCCCGATCTTCCACACTGTAGCAGGGTCAAGAGGCCTTGTGTGAGAACACTCTCTATGGACTCAGGCTGTCCACATGGGCTCCAGGTCTCCCTCTGCATGCTTCCCTCTCTCCATGTGTACTTGTATGCTCATGTGCTTTACACACAAAAATCTGTATGTGTGTGTATGTGTGTGTGTGTGTGCGTGTGTGCGCCCACGCGTGCGTGTGCTCATACTGTATGGCTTAGGCTCTCTTAGTAAATTTATAGAGAGCTTAGCAAAACCATCTGTTTATTCTTTTCAGTAAACTCCCATGTCTCCTCAAAGCCCCATGCTGCTCAATCTCTTATAAGCACTGTTAACCACCTGAGTGGCAGCCCCTGCCAAGATTCCCAGAATATTCTTTCAGGGGTTCAAATGCAAACAAGAATGGAATAACAAGAATGATTGATGAGATGTAAGACCTGTGAACTCATTTCAGGTAAAGCAGTCGTAAGTGTGTGTGGTCTTGTCAGGGAGGATTCTGGGTCATCTATGACATGCCACTGGGCATTCAGAAAGAGAATGAAAGTATCAGAGGAAGTTGGGAGTGGGCTGACCCATGAGTGAATCTGAGAAAGGAGTCTCAGCAGGGAGTGGAGAGTGCCTAAGGACTGCATGTGTGGAAGCTGGTGCGATGTGGGGTTTAGGAGGCACACAAGCTGTGATGCATTATTCTATACAGCAGGAAAAAAAGCCTGAACCAAACCCAGAAACTGGACCTAGGCTGCACTATTGAATTGTGGACGTGTGGCGGTGGCGGGTGGCGGGTGGGGGGGGGAGGGATGGGAGCAGTAAACAATGGTGGATGTGTATTAAGCAAGTAGAGGAACCGAGAAGCTAAAAGGATCCCCACAGGGAGGAGGCAGGAGCTGGAAGTAGCTATGAATGCTGAGAGCGTAGTCAGCCATGCCTCTCTGGCCCCGGCTTGTGCTTGCACAGTCATGGAGGCCAGGGAGCAGGGCCTGGCAGGCCAGGGTGGCTGACTGCCTAGATAGGTCAGACTTCCAGGAAGATAGGGAGTGTAAGGTTGAGTTCAAACTTCAAAGATGGTGAAGCAGGCACCTCTGGGTGGATACATGAACATGAGCCAGTTCAGAATGACACTGCTAAGAAAGGAGGCTTTCCTCTACCTTCCATAGGCACGACTTCCCAAGTGTGGGACAGTTTGGACTGTCTTCCCACTAATTAGAAAGGCAATCCCTGTATTCACATGTAAATGGTATTTGGAGGTAAAGCCTTTGTAATGGGAGAGGCTGTGATGGTGTCAGTGGCTTTTGTCAGACAGAGGAAAAGCAGTCTTAGCCCACACTTGCTGTCTGGCCATATGATACCCTGTGCCAAGTTGTGATAGAAGGCTCTTACTAGATAGAAGCCAGCACATAGCTCCTAGGCATCCAACATGTTTGTGGTATTCCGTTACAGCAACAAATCCATTTATTTATATATGTGTGCAAAGAATATACACATATACAAGGCCAACTGAAGAGACAGATGGGGATGAGACAGGAGGCAGAGATGCCAGGTGGATGCCTGGGTCCATTCGACAGAGAAACGTCTTTGCAAAGGCCATATGGCCACAGTGTAATACAGATTCACTACCCAGGAGCCGGGGCTCAGGGACAGCGCTGAGTGTTTCCTACTTCTAGTACCCAGAAAGAGGACAGGGGCCCTCCTAAGGGAAGCAAATTCCCATGAGGTAAATTTCAATTGTTATGCCATGTGGGCCAGCAGGAAGCAGCCTGTCTCCACAGACAGAGGCAGAGGAGATGGTGAAGATATGGGTCCCAACAGGCCAGAGAAAGGGGACTCTTAGAGGCACAGTACAAAACACTGTCTTCATATGTCTTCATAAGATGGGCTTAAAAGGCTCTGTGTCCAGGCAGAGTGGCTAGTGAATGGCTGTCTCCGTGTAGCCAATAAACCCCACTAAGCCTAAAGCAACACCCGGGAAGGATCTTCTAGGTGGCAGTGCACTGACTGTGGGCCAGGAGGAACAGTGTCTTTAAGGAATGAGCCTAGAGGTCCCCTTCTACATCAGATATTTCACACATCCACCTGCCTAAGAGGCCCCTCCCCACAGGAGTTGGGTCTACATACTGCATCTAGGTCTACCATACTTCCTGGAAACCTGAGGTGCCTGGCAACTGCTAACTCTGTGGGGTTACCACACTGGAACCAGAATGACAGTTTTGTGAACTTGACACAATCTAGAATTACCTAGGAAGAGAGCCCCAATGAGGGATTGTCTAGATCAGGTTGGCCTGTGGCATATGTGTGAGTGGTCGGGGAGAGCGGACAGGCAGGGAACAGGAGAAGAGTATTGTCTTAATTTAGTAGATTGGGAAGACCCAACCCACTGTGGGTGGCACCATTCTCTAGTTTTGGGTTCTAGACTGTGTAAGAGCGATTGGAGACCCTGAGTGTAACATGTATACAAGCATTAATTTCTCTCTGCTCTTGATTGTGGATACGGCTAGCTGTT